GATGGTTTTGGAACCAGCGAATTCGGGGACCATGGTATTTGCGTTGGAAGCAGCGAATTCGGGGACCATGGTATTTGCGATGCTTTTGGAACAGCGAATTCGGGGACAATGGTTTCGCGATGGTTTTTGGAGCCAGCGAATTCAGGGACCATGGTATTTGCGACGCTTGTGGAACCGGCGAATTCGGGGACCATGGGAAACAGCGAATTCGAGGACCATGGTCTTTGCGATCGATGGTTTTGGAAGCAGCGAATTCGGGGACCATGGTATTTGCGACGGTTTTGGAAACAGCGAATTCGGGGACCATGGTATTCGCGATGGTTTTGGAACCAGCGAATTCGGGGACCATGGTATTGGCAATGCTCTTGGAACCAGCAACTTCGGGGACCATGGTATTTGCGATGGTTTTGGAACCAGCGAATTCGGGGACGATGGTATTTGCGATGGTTTTGGAACCAGCGAATTCGGGGACCATGGTATCTGCGATGCTTTTGGAACAGCGAATTCGGGGACCATGGTATTCGCGATGGTTTTTGAAACCAGCGAACTCGGGACCATGGCATTTGCGATGGTTTGGGAACCAGCGAATTCGGGGACCATGGTATGGTTTTGGAACTAACCAGCGAATTCGGGGACCATGGTGTTTGCGATGGTTTTAGAATCAACGAATTCGGGGACCATGGTATTGACGACGGTTTTGGAAGCAGCGAATTCGGGGACCATGGTATTTGCGATGGTTTTGGATGCAGGGAATTCGGGGACCATGTTATTTGCGATAGTTTTGGAACCGGAAATCGGGGACCATGATATTTGCGATGGTTTTGGAAATAGCGAATTCGGGGATCATGATATTTGCGATGGTTTTGGAACCAGCGAATTCAAAAAACATGGTATTTGCGACGGTTTTTGGAACCAGCGAATTCGGGGACCATGTTATTTGCCATGGGCTTGGAACCAGCGAACTCGGGGACCATGGTATATGCGATGGTTTTGGAACAGCGAATTCGAGGACCATGGCATTTGCGATGGTTTTTGGAACCAGCGAACTCGGGGACCATGGTATTTGCGATGGTTTTGGAGCCAGCGAATTCGGGGACCATGGTATTTGCGATGGTTTTGGAACCAGCGAATTCGGGGACCATGGTATTTGCGATGGTTTTGTTTGCGATGGTTTTGGAAGCAGCGAATTCGGGGACCATGTTATTCGCGATGGTTTTGGAACCAGCGCATTCGGGGACCATGATATTCGCCATGGTTTTGGAACCAGCGAATTCGGGGAAAAATGTTATTCGCGATGGTTTTGGAACCAGCGAGTTCGGGGACCATGATATTCGCGATGGTTTTGGAACCAGCGAATTCGGGGACCATGGCATTTGCGACGGTTTTAGTTTTGGAACCAGCGAATTCGGGGACCATGGTATTTGCGATGGTTCTGGAACCAGCGAACTCGGGAGCCATGGTATTTGCGACGGTTTTAGAAACAGCGAATTCGAGGACCGTGGTATATTTGCGATGCTTCCACGGCGTGCTACGTTTGTACTACAAAAGTCGACTTTCCAGCCACTGAAGCTCCGGGCGTCCGCGGCGTACTACGTTTGTACTACGAAAGTGGATTTTCCAGCCACGACATCTGTACTACAAAAGTCGACTTTCCAGCTACGGAAGCTCCGGGTGTCCCCAGCGTACTACGTCTGTACTACAAAAATCGACTTTCCAGCCACGGAAGCTCTGTGGGCGTCCGCGCCGTACTAGATTTGTACATCTGTGCTACAAAAATCGACTTTCCAGCCACGGAAGCTCCGGGCGTCCGCGCCATACTACATTTGTGCTACAAAAGTCGACTTTCCAGCCACGGAAGTCCCCGGAAGCTCCGAGCGTCCACGGCGTACTACATTTGTACTACAAAAGTCGCCTTTCCAGCCACGGAAGTCACCGGCGTACTGCGTCTGTACTACAAGGGGTTACGATTGTATGTTAAAAAACGGCAAAAAAACAGGACGGGTGTGGCACTGCGACCACGCGAAAACCCGCAGAGGGGTTACGTTTGCATGTCAAAAAACGCAAAAGCACGACCGTTTTGGCACTGCGCCAACGCCGAAACCCGCAGAGGGTTGACGCGGACACGAAAAAATGCAAAAGACGATGGTTTTAGCCGATTGCCCGCAGAGGGTTGTCCGCGGCGCGAAAGAAACGTAAAAACACGACGGTTTTAGCACCGCGACCATGCCGAAACCCGGAGAGGGTTGTCCGCGCAAATCAAAAAACGTAAAAAAAAAAAAACGACGGTTTTAGCACCGCGACCACGCCGAAACCCGCAGAGGGTTGCAATCCCGATTGGCGACGTCAACCCAGCCCGCCGCCTTAAAAAGAATAATTTTAATTAAGAAATGTAGGACTGGGTACGAAGGTCTATTAAATTCTACTAAAATCTCGGAAATTCTATGAAATTGTACTAAAATTGTGAATTCTACTTTATGCACTTAACTCTGTGCACTTCACTCTATGCACTTAACTCTATGCACTTGACTCTGTGCACTTCACTCTATGCACTTAACTCTATGCACTTGACTCTATGCACTCCACTCTATTCGCTTCATTGCGCTTCACTCTATGCACTTCACTCAATGCACTTCACTCCATGCACTTAACTCTATGCACTTCACTCTATGTACTTAACTTCTATGCACTTGACTCCATGCACTTCAGTCTATGATGTTGGGTCAGAGGGCTCCGCACGGAAGAACCCTTCGCGATGCTTTCGGCCTACCTCTCGTAATTTGGGATGTCCGGTCTAGTGTCTTTCTTCATCAAGCGACACACAACGTTCCCAACATCATGAAGAAGGAGGCGAGCCAGGGCAGAGGCAGTGTCTGTTCATCGTGGCCTCTGGCCCTTGGAGGCCATGGCGGCCCTAGAGGTTCTTATTGGTCCCTTGTAGGGAAGGGGGGTAAGGGGGGGGGGGGGGGGGGGGGCTGTAAAGGCGTCAAGGCGTTTCAAGCCGGCGATACCCTTTTTTTTGATTGTTAATGTCTCTCCTCGCGGGGTTACACGTCTCAGGCTCCACTGAAAACTTGTCCAACGCGAAAAAGGAACCTGAGGCGGCGCCTTTTCGTTTCTGATGTTGGGAGCGTCGCCGGCGACCAAATTACGGGGTCGGTTTTCACTAACATCTTTCCAGAGAGAATAAACACCATGTTCCAGTTTCCGCGCTTGTCTGCGAAGTTACAAGGGGTTGTTAGTTACCATGAGCGGGCTTTGTGTCTGCACACTGCAAGACACAGAGCCTCTTTCAAATACTCGTCGAATCGCGAGTCCTCCGGGTCTATGAGGATGCCGAAGTGGACTAAACCAGATCGAAGCTGGCTGAACGTCCACTTGCACTTGAACATCTGGGGGCGAGCTGCCGTTCTTATCAGAACGACTGCCCCGGAGGCATTCGCACTTAGAGCAAGAAGCCGACGGCGAGCGAGGCGCCACAACTCAGTTTGAGATGCTGCCTGGCAAGGACCCGGCACAGAATATAACTGCTCCCAGAATTGCTCAAGAAAGTGTTGATTTACTGGTCGGTGGAACAGGGGTTCGCCAAGACACGGCCTTGGGGTCTTGTTCTGAATGGGGGTTCGGCATGAAGAAATCAAAGGGTTTGAGCTGGCTATGATGGGATGCCTCTATCCACAGGTTTCGCTATACTGGCATGGGTCAACATGTGGGCTCTGCATTCGCACCTTTGCATGCCTCAACTCATTCGCTTCTGCGCAGTGGTGACGGCAAAGATGTAGGCCTTGAAAGTCCTCTTCGACACATGATGTTGACGCAGTGGAAATTGCGGCAAAAAAAGACATGTCAGTCGGGCATGCTTCAGCATACACAAGGTCCGGAATGGTGATACGGTGATACTGTGGTTGGCCAATGAAACCAACCACCAAAGGCCTTGATGGCCTTGTATGGCAGTTGCATGCAGTTGCAACATGAAGCAATTGTGCATGCACGTCCTGCTCAGGCGCCTCATCGCATGTGGGGGCATGCTCAGGATGCTGCCGACAGATCCATCGGGGCGTCAATCGCAAGCTGGCCGCAGCGCATTTCCGATTGCCCCCGTGCATGGCTGAAATGTGATTGCTACCCGTGCAGTTTGCAATGGCGACCGGTGCTCATTAAACGTAGCGGCTGCGACGCCCGAGGCAGTAGAGGTATGATAGGATCAGGTGAGACCATTGTCAGCATCCTAAATCCGATAGTCTCAACTCGGATGGAAACCAAGCTATATCCAAATGGCCTGCTCAAGACGTACGATTCGTCTTGCATCTTTGCTCGGGTCCTAGACGTGAAGAAGTGTGGCAAGGAGGTTCTGTTGTTGAGCACATGGGGGCCAGACATGAAATCTGCAGTGTGGCCACTCGCATTGACCCACTGGCAAACTCGACAGCGACTGAGTTACTTTTCTCGGGGACGGGCTATGCGGACATTCTGGATGGTCAACAGTTCTTGTTTGATGAAATCTACATCAGCAACGTGGTTGGGCGGGGGTTGCTCTCCCCCCCACAGTACTGTACCTTTTCCAAGGCCCGTCACCTACGATAGAGTTCCGAGGCTTCAACCTCTCACGAGTCGAGGATCGCTACTGTATGGGAAGCTCTTCCTTGCTGCAATGAGCGTGAGAGGAAAGCAGTTTGTACCGGATCAGGGTTGTGCTTTTTGTGTTCGTGTTCCTTCGTAAGTGCCGCTTTTTGGATGGCCTGCGGCCACTGAGGCCCTCACTGGAAGGAGGAGGCTGCTCAGCACCACTGACAGCGCCGTTTTCCATCGGCTCCCACCTTTGCGACGGCTCATCTGAATTCTCTTCTGGGGGGGACCCCCCGATAGCCGATAGAACGCTTCGTGCGATAGAGCACATCCTACGACAACGCTGTTGAGCGCGAGAATTTCACATTCCTTTAGTGAAGCAACCTGCACATGCTGCCCAATCGACCAGAACAAAGCGGGCACCATCGTCCCCTGGCCTATTCAAGCGATCCTCTGCCGCGCAGGTGGCGGCGTCCACCTCCCCCATCGTAACACGGGTGCCAAGGGAGATCAAGCTGTGTGTCGTCTGATACGTTCATCTAGAAAGCAACTCTTACGGAGAGGGCATTCGTGTTGAGTTGTAAGGCCTGTAGATTCCACGGCAAGCAGAAGCAACAGTGACGACATGGCAAGCTCTTCCCAGACGTCTGTCTCAGCACAACGAACTTGTTCTTATCAGGCCGTGTGCCTTCGAGACGTCTCCTGTGGCGATCGGCTCCCCAAAACAACACACATCCCGTGAAATGCTGGCTCAACCCCACAATGACACCTATGTCGCAACTCGACCCACCCACCTCCAAAAAGGCCGTGAGCCCTCCCCACTTTCAAAAGGCTGAAGTTACGATTTGTGCCATCAGCTGAGGTGCAAACCATCGCTCAGACTCGAGAAGAGTTTTCTGCGGCGACGGTTGTGTTTGGAGATATATAACACCTCAACCCGAGGCAGAATCTGCATCATTAATACCGTACGGACAGGAGGTTCGAAAGCACGGCAAACAATCCTTTGAAGCTGGGGTTGCAGCTCATCGTTCCTACGGGGAGGCGGGTTGGACGTTTGAGGTTCACAGGAGGTTTCGGACTGAATTCAAAAACTCCCAAACCGAGTCGCAGCATTGGAACTGAGTACCTTGACCGGTTTAGACGGTCGCATTTGGACGGCATCAGATCACGAGCGACAAACCCCGGCCCGCGAACCCAAAACAACCCTGTTGATGATACATGCTGAAGCGCAGAAGTCCAACTAACTGTATATAATCAACAGAGTGGACCCAGTTTGATGCCACAGACTTCCTGGGAGTGGATGACTTGACAACTATCGCCGGCAAGCCGATCGAGCACAGTCACGTTTCCCTCCGTGCCTTACTTCTGAGGCCGCAAGCACCACTATTTCCCTCCCCCTCCAAACCATAAAAGGGCATGGTCAGGATTCGGAAGTAGGTCTTTTCTTTCAACGATGCTTGTTCTGCGAAAAGTTTCCAAGGTGCATGGCGTCTTACTTAAGGTTCAATGAATCGGGGCCTGCATCTGCATCTGCTGATTGTCAAAGATGAGGAGAAGTACCATGTGTTGCCACTCCTTCATGCCAGTGGAATGTGGTGTCGGAAAACAGACCCCTGCTGGAGCCACAATTACGTTACCAGCACAAGTTTTGGGTGTCCTTGCTCTGCGAAGCGGTTCTAAGGTTTAAGGTTTTTCTTCCCAACTCTGCTTGTTCTGCGAAAAGGTGGCAAGGTTCAAGGTCTTTTCGTTCTACTATGCTTGTTCTGCGAAATGGCGTCGTGCTTTCGTTTCAATGATTCGGGGCTTGCATCTGCATCTGCTGATTGTCAAAGATGAGGGGAAGTACGATTTGTTGCCACGCCTTAATTCCAGTGGGATGTGGTGTTGGAAAACAAACCCGTCATGGAGCCGCGATTACGTTACCAGCACAGATTGTTGGGAGTCCTTGCTCTGCGGAGTTTTTCCCAACTCTGCTTGCTCTGTGAAAAGGTTCTAAGGTTCACGAGCTGAAGGGAGACGTATGGCGACGTGCCAAATCGGGGAATCCCCGTCCTGGCCAAGCGACTGCGGTCGAGCGGGAATCGAAATCTAAGCGTTGGCACCCTTTAGGAAAAAAACTTGTAGGCTCATTTGGGAGGCTGCGCTTGGCAACTTCAGATCCTCTTGATTCATGGGTACGAAGCCCATGTCTTAGACTGAGCTTGTTAGAGTGCTGTGCAATGCGGTGCATCAGCATGAAACGACGACAAAACAAAAAGCAGATCGGTTGCGCCAGTCGCAGCCCCAACCGCCCTTCTCTCTCGAACTGTCTGAGCCCGACCTACATCACCTGAACAAGCACAAAACTAGACCCTGTTGCACGGTTCAAGTTACTGCAATTGCTGCGCTACCAAGGCTTTATTCTTCATAGTTATGGACGGCTATGGTTCCATCTCCAATGGAACTCCCCTAGGCAGTACTGCAGTTGTCAACTCTGCTTGTCTCCCTTCCGGGATCGAAAACCTGCAGTGTTTTTTTGAAGTTGGCTTCGAGCACGATCTTGGAGTTCTTGGACCTGAACAAGCCGAGGTGCTCTGGGCCAAGGCCGCCTTCACGGCAGCCTCCACCACAGCCCGCGGCGGCGAAGCCTCCATGGCGAAGCTTGCAGCTTGTCCTGAGAGCATTCGGTGTTCATCTGCTTACTGTACACTCCTACTTGACAGGCATGGCTGGCCTTGAGATGGATGCTCAGGCGCTACAGGGCGCAACCCTGTCGGCTTGTCGCAAAAGCTCACTGCTTTTTCAGATGGCGCCTTTCATGGCATTTGAGGGGCCCTTCATTCGTTCCAACGTCTGAGCTGAGGGAGCGGCACGCCAGTGATCAAGGCTACCTTCGGCGTGCCCACCTCAGGAAGTCCAAAGTGTGACGGAGCATGACTTGAGTGCCTTCGGGTGAGGAAGGTCCATATAGCGGCGCGTATTGCAAGCTCCCACCTCCCAGCGGCATTCGTCGGAGGCGTTCGCAAGCACCACCTTCAGAGCAGCGAATCCACCTGAGCGGTCTCTTAGGCTCTTTGCCGGAGGAGAGAATCGGTCAACAACCTAACCCGAAGCCCAAACGCCTTTAACTTCCATCGTTAGGTCCGCAAGTAAGCTGAAGTCCCGAGAATTCAAACAAACCCCTCACAACAAGCTTTAAGCGAACCCAGCGGGCCCCAGAGCGGGCCCCAGAGCATTTTCGCAAAGTAGATGTTGTACGAAATGGCGAGGCTCTCATCCTGGCATCGCGCTTCTGCTCCGAGATGAGGAGGGGTAGATGGGGTTTGTGGGGGTGTGTAGCACATGAGGGCTGTGAGCTACAAAGAAGCGCGTTCTCCCGCAGATCCCAGGACAGCTCGCAACCCAAATCGCCTGACAGCTTTAGGTCCTAGAGGGGATTATGAGTGCTCAGCAGGGGGCAGAAGCGCAAAACGCCAGATGACAAGGGCCGCCTCTCTTCATTCCTGGGTAGATTTCACATGGACACGGGGCCGGGGTTTTGCTAGGACAATGCCGATGTGCGGATCTGTGAACCCCGCCACCATCTAGATCAAATTTCGGAAAGGAGATGTTTCAGACAGAGGCGAAGTTGTCCTTGCTTACGAGCTCCCACACCGACAGGAAGATGCGTTCTAGACTGTCCGAGAACATCTAAAGAAACTTCGTCACACAAGCATTTGTTAGTATACAGGATTTGGGGATCAATGTGTCTGGCATCACCTGCTTCTGCAGCCCAGTCGCAAAGATGGCATGGAACGCCGGTGTGGTCCTTGTGGGTCGAACGCATCTCTTACAGACCCTATGCAACCCCAAGCCCCCAACATAACCCAACAGACTTCTCCAAAACCCAAAACCTTGTACCGCCAAGCCTCTATGACTAAAGCGCTCGGTGCAAAGTGCGATCTGCGCTCTGCCCATCATGCAACCACCAGCCCGTACTTCCCTTTAGAGGGACTGTGCAAGGGTTACGATGGCCCTGACACCTTCTGGCAGTGTCCGCATAAACGCGAGGTGCTTCCCTAGACCTTCCAGCGCTAGCTCGTGAGACCCTACTTCGGAGTTTTCGGAAATGATAAGTGACCGCACCGATGACAACTCATGCATCTCCATTGCAATAAGGATTCTCTAGAGCCTCTGAAGGAAGCAGCGGTTCATTCTCGATCTCTCGTTTCCAGGCAAGCTGCTGCTCCAGCAGTGCCGACTGTGTGTAGATCAGCAGGTGCCTGGGCAACAGTGGAAGACAAGTTGAGGGTTCTTCCTGTCCTCCCTCTTGTTAACCTCCTCCAAACGCGGTGTGGGTGAAGGGTTCAATTGCTACCGCGAGGGGGCGCTGTAGCATGCGCAAACTGCATATACATGGTGAATATTTGCAAGGTTTGGCTTTGGGGGGATTGACGAGCGCAGGGGGTGGAAGGCTTCATGCCGTGGCAAGTTTGCTCACCATGTAGAGCTCTTACTCCTTGCATGTAAGCCCACAAGGGCAAACGTAGACGCGAATGCCCTCAAGCCCTTGACAGAAGTTCCATTCCTGGCATCCGACGGCCCTACATCGACATTCATGGGCCAGGAGACGACACGGCTGGGATCGGTGTCTCTGTCGCCACCTGGGATGGAAAGCAGAGGCAGCGGAGGCCGGGGCAGCTTCACAGCATAGACAATACATTTTGCTAGCATTACTGTCATCACTTTAGTGACTAGTGATGTTACTGATGTTACTATTGCTATGGATTGCTATCACGATTATAGCTGGTATTGCGTTTATTGGCTTCGGCTTGGGCTTAAGGCTTGGGGTTCAAACGTTGATCGTCCTTTACGCTGTGGTCCTTGATACGTACTTTGTGAACAGATGGTAGTCTCCGGTAGATGCTATGCAGGATTGTGGAGGTTCAAGCCTGGCTTTGTCCGGGGGTGCTCTCCGACATGTACATGTACAGAAACGATCCGCTGGCTCTCAACATCTCTCCCCATGTCACTCTGCAGTAAGTTGAGGATTCCTCTCCTCGTGCGTGGGATCGCCCTCCGCATCTTGGTATCAAGAGTCCCATGGTGTCAGTGGCCTCATTCCGTCACTCGGTGGACTTCCACTCCCTATACCCTCCTACTATATTTATAGCAGTTCGGAGACTGGGGCCCAAACCGAACCCTCCCCACATCCCCTTCAAAGTGACTTATTCTGCAACGTGAGCGGGATGGGGTATATCTGGGAAATCGCTGAATCAAAAGGGCTGTTATTGCCATGGTACCTCATCAAAACATTGTAACCCGAAGATACGGAGCCTCTACGGTTGGGGACAAATACAATATATAGTAGCCGGATCAGGGAATGAAGTTCTTGCCCGTAATGCAACCGCCCACCCGGCCCTTAAGCCGTACACATACACCTGCATAGCTTGAGCGCGGAACCCTAACCCTACCTCTATATCCGCAGCCCACAAGAGGTATCGCAAAATGGATCCAGCGGCTGAAGAAAGGATGTTAATCCCTTGGAACTTTTCTGATTCTGCGGCCAAAGGCCAAGTGCACGGGGGAATATAGTGGATTGCATCTAGGGTTTAGGGTCCAGGTTTTTTTGGGAGAAGTTCCCTCAGCACCGCAGAGGGAAAATTCCTCGGGAAAATTCCTCGGGACACGAAGCGGATGGGCCCCCCAACAAGGACTCCTCCTGCAGTTTACCTGCAACAACATCCGAAGCATGAGATCTTTATGCAGGTTGTGCGTAGGCTAAATAATTTGAATGACACGATTTTGGCCTGTAACATATTGCAACGAACGTCAGGATCATTCAGCATTAATTACTAATGGCATGCAATAGTTCAGGCTCTACATTGAACACTTTGAAAACATCATGCATATTGATAATATAGGTGTTCATTGCAGTTTCAGTTCTCTTCCAATCGGCTCCACTTACTATCTCTAAATCCTGGATCGCAACATGCCGCATTAGGTTTGAGGTGGCCTACTCAGATACTACGGCTTCCTTGTCGGAACATTCAGGTCAGCTGCGACTGAGACAGCTTCAGAGCTTGAGAAACTGTGGGTAGGGGGCGGAGAGGCGCGGGGAGCAGGTCCAGGGTCTTTATGCGTTTTCTCTTGTCACACGTCTCGAAGGATGCCCTCGGAATCTTACAACACTACAACCACTAAAACTTCAACAGACTTGTGAAGCCGGGTGAAGCCGCCTGCTTGCAATACACCCTCCGAGTAACGCAGGATGACAAACTAGCCATTTTCGCAAGATGATGTACCAGCATCTAATTGTGAGGATCAATTCTAGCAACAGCCTGCAACAGCAACATCAACGGCAGCCATCTGCACCGTCACCACCATTATCAGCACCCACATACCCCACATCAGTCATCACCGCAGTATGAACATCCAGCGAGTCAGAGCCACATGACCGCTCGGGATCCTGTGGGACGAAAGCCGCCGGGTTCCTTTTCTGGGGCCCCTGCAAAGACAGCACTTCCTGAAGCCTTAGCGGGTTGTCGGGCTCCAGGATTGAAGGTTGTGGTTTAAGGATCAAAATCGAATTCGATGCGATCCTGGTTTGTCTGCGTCTGTACTCAGCATACTCACCTTTGTAGCCGTTGCGGTCACCCCTATGTGCTGGATTATGTACGCTACCTCTCTGGTGTTCCCAAAGAGCACACCTCGTCGCTTGGCGAGAAAAAGGATGCACAAACTTCACAAGGCTTTCAGGCATTCGGGCTTGAGTGCTTTGGCATGTAGGGTGGGGCGCGGCATGATAGGGCTTGGGGTGTAGAGATCAGGGTTTAGGGCCCCATGCTCAACCCACAGCTCACAATCCTGGCGGCTGGCCGAGCCGAGGCGTCGCAGGCGCTCTGATCGATGGCATCGCGCCTGCTACCTATATGCTTCAACCCATCAGGCTTACGGGTTTAGGGTATATCTAGAGTTTGGGGCTTAGAGTCAGCTTAGGGTCAGAAATTGCGGTTCAAGGTGTTAGGGTTCTTAGACAGTTCGGGGCTTGTGGATAGACAGTTCCTGCAAAGGCGATCTCATTAGGGCTTGGACTCTAGAGATTTGTTCACCTCAGATTCATTTTCCATGAAAAGATGGAAGGTTTCCGAGAAAACCTGAACATCTCCCAACAACACTGCCTAGCTCCTTTGAGCCGGTCAGGACCAGGTGAAGACAATAGCGATGTCTATCGTGTCGACATAGTCGAGTCGAAGAGCACGCAAGTAGCTTTCTTAACTACATTCTAGCACGTGTAACCCCAAATAAAGCTACAGAATAGCTGACTACGAACCCTTAAAATCTATAACTGCGTAACCCCTACAACTGTAGGTTTTTTTTGCATCGCAAGGGTATGCAGCTCCTACATCTCTTTTCGCCCTCACATGAGCGCTGTTCTGCACCACCCTGGAGGCTCACCTTCCAAAATCCCTTAATGAAGGAATAGACTTTGAATTATGGTGGGATCCCTAATAAGATTTAAGGTGTATTCCTCAATTCAGGGATTTTGGACGGTCTGGGAGCACTGTGCCAGGAGCTGCCCACATGTGCAGCTGTCTGATTCGGAGCTCCTTCTCTCAAGCTCGGGGTTGGGAAGGCATCAACTTCAGTTTAAGGCTTCGGGAAACCCCCTAAACCCCAAACCCCTAAACCTGAAACCTTTAAACCTTGAAGCAGCTGACCTTCTGCTCCCCTAAAACCACACTTGCCCTCCGATCCGAGATCTAATCATCAAACTCTGCAACTCTACGAATTCAAGGCTCTACTTTCGAAAGATTCATATCAGGCCCGCCGCCCTACAGCAAAAGCCCTAAACAAGACCTATAACACCCTTGATTGTAGAATTCGCAGAGAGCCGTGATGGAGCAAACGCGCATAGAGCCCACAACCAAACCTTGAAGCGGTTTAGGGTTTAGGATGTCAGGCTTTAGGCAGGGCTTAAGGGTCTTAGGGTTTCAGTGCACTAGGCTTTCAAGTAGCCAGGGGAAGACAGTATAGACACCATGTCACAATGGTTCCTTCAAGGAACAGGTATTGCGGTACAACAGAACCCTGCACCCCGTGTTTTCGACTCGCCCTTCTCTATCTTCGTCTCCCTGCGGTTCATGACGCTTTAGTCAAGCCCGCTGACAGTGCCTGGAGGATCATGAGACTTAGCAAGTTAGTGTTGCCCGAAAAGATTTATATAACGGCTTTATCGGGTTTCTACAAGGGTTCC